GGTTGTGTTGTGGTTGTGGTTGTGGTTGTGGTTGTTGTTGTTGTGGTTGTGGTTGCATCGTGTCGCTTGTTGGAACCAACAGTACTCAGTACGACCAGTAACTGTAGCAACACTATTTAGTCGCAAGGCGGCAGTTCTGACTGACGAAAAACACGAGCCAGCTTGACGTTCCAATGTTTGCCTCGTATTCCCAGAAACCGCGACCCATGGCCAGGCCAGGAAGCTCCCTAAACCCTAAACCCCAAAAACCCAAACCACAAGGTGAAGATCCAGCCCTTGCTCCTGCGACCCGAGATGTCGATGGATGGGGATTCCCTGTGCTTTAGCATGGAGGCATTCCTTGGGGATCTCTGCCCAACGTCGAAAGCACTGAACCTCGGCCCTGAAGGCAGCTGTAAGTTGCGACCATCGAGTCCATATCTCTGAATAGGGTCTCACCCTAGTTCTGAGCTCTCTGCCGCACAGTTCCGCAGTTGGACTTGCAACCCTGTATCATGTAACCTGGCCTCAGTTCAGCTGGTGTCGACCGTAGACTTCTGAATCCCTGCATGAAAGTGTACTTCACGCCTCGAGGATTGAGTTTCCTTATAAAATTTGAAGGGCTTGGACCGGCTTCTCAGAAACGGCATCGTCTCTTTTGCTGCTTTTCTGAGGAACCAGCTACTAGAGTGCGCTTGCGATGCCGGGCGGCTCCAGATGGTCAAGAGCCACTACTGTCAGAACTTGAACCTTGAGGAGTTTGAGCTTATACTCCGTGAGGTGAGTGTGGGTCGGGATTCATTAACTTGGAATGAAAAGTTCCATAGTTTCGAAATCCATGCCAGGTGTCTTCCAGCGATTTCTATGCCAGGTTACAGCTGGGTTTCTGGCAATTTTGGGCAGATCCCTTGTCACAGCGCCTCGGAGAAGTCCACTTTGCGGAGTTTGTGCGCAAGATGCACACAAGCTCCGCAGCCTTGGCTCAGGCATGCCCGCACATGGCCCTGACGATGCTCAGGGTCCTGCGTACGGCCTGCAAACGACGTGGTGCTTCCGCAGCCGAAATCGGATTGGGAATCACAGCTGCCCTCCAGATCGCAGAAGGCCTGGGTGAGGAAAGGTCTCAGCTCCAAGACGAGGTGGCCTTGTTGACACCAGCCGTGCAGGAGACAAGCTTTAGAGGGAAGCTGGACCTGGTTGCGTGGTTGCCTGCATTTGAGCTTCTTGAGACTGCAGCAGTTCAAGATGGATTCCGCTTGGTTGAGGCCATGCTTAGCCATGCAGGCATTCAGCAGCTACTAGAGTTGCTTGATGCTCGAACATCTGCCACCTGGCCCTTCAAAGAGCTGATCCTTGTGTTTGCACAGAACGTGACCTCGAGACACTACAACAGTCAAGGGAAAATGAAAGCAACGAAGTTGCTCGACGACCTTGAGTTGCTTGCCACCGCCGAAAACACCGATGTTTGCGTACCATGGAGAATGAATGACAACAGTCTTTGTTGCTGTCGATGTGTTTAAAGTAATTTGCAGACGAGCAACAGAAGCACTAATAATAGGACCAATAGAAGCAGGACTTTCGAGTTGCCGACAACTCCCCACAAGGTGAGCTTGATGGCAGGCATCGCGAGCCTCAGCGTGGACAACTGGCGAAAGGCCATTGACGACGAGGCTTGCCTGCGCTTGCCGCGCTGGTCTCGCTTCAAGGCTGACTGCATCAGTGGACTTCATCAAAATCTACGTAAGAGGCTGGAGGAGGTCTATACGCAGGTGATCGCTTTAGAATTGCCCATGGGTAGCTTGCAAGAGCTGGCTCAAGCTAACAGAGCTTTCTCTCGAGCTGTTCAACTGTTTGGCTTGGACCTCTCAGGCTTGGCAACAGCTCAAGCACGCTTGCAAGAGCTCGGCAAATCACGACGTAATCTGCAACTGTTCAACGTGATTGCCGAATGGCACCCGTCCTTGTTCAAACACCTCCAGCCGGTAAATCAGTCGGTGAAGCAAGTTATGGCTATGTGGGACAGTACACCTGCAATGCGCTTGGAGCACACTTGCCAAGAGTTGATTAAGGACTTGCCGGAACCTCCCATTATCACAGCCTTGGATGCTTCACCACGTGTTCGTGCTCTGATCATAGATGCCTTCTATGGGAAGTCTTCAGTGACAACGCCGCCGCTGCCGGAGTTCGTAGACAAAGTCCGTGCAGGTTGGTCGAAGTTTCTTAAGTCACTGCAATCTGGGGACATCAGAGTCGCGGAAATTGATGCAAAAGCCCTCCTCAAGCCGGGTGACAACGAGCAAACTTTGCGTGGCTGGCTTGAAGAAGAATTCCGTCTCTTGAGAGGCCGGATAGCAGCCGCGGTCCTGCTGCAGTGTTGCTTTTGTTTGCCAAGGCTTGGTTGAATACATAGTAGTGTCCTGGCATACCGCGGCTGTCTTTCGACTATGTACCCTGGCATGCAGTCAAGTGCTATCGGCACGACTGTCGAAGCATGCTAGAGTGCTCCCGGCTGAACGTCAGAACTAAAGAAGCATGCCAGACAATCCGGCATGATGACACAAAGCCATGAACTAACATGAGCAACAGAAGCTTGGACCGGAAGACTTTGCAGCCGAGCGGGTTGTTGGGAGCCGGACACGAGCCGATCACAGAAGTCTCGCCAACAAGAGGAGCGCCGCGCCCTTCCCAGAATGACAGCGTGTACCTGGAAAATCCACATGAAATCGTGCAAAGCCGTGAAGGTGAACATTTGCCTGTAGAGCTCATGTGCTGGGTTTCCCGATTCAGGAGGAACCATGGTCTTATTAAACATCAACACATGATGTAACGGACAGTTGCACTTCAGCTCCATTACACCCAAGTCGTCATGTCCACCTGCGATTCTTCAATCTTTCGCGACGGAAGAGACGCAGTCTCAAGTCTCGGAGACTAGCGCTTTTGGGAGCAAAGCTCTTCTAGATCACGCATGGTAGAGTATTATGAATTCCGTCATGTCCTGGCTTGAATACTCTTGACCGGGTTGGTGCTTGGTCCGAAAGACTTGTGGTGCCCAAACTCGAGTTCAAAGTGATTTCTTTCTTGCGTAGACCCGAAACTTAAACCCTGAATCGTCGAATCAGCAAACCTTCGAACTCGAAACGAAGATTTCTGTCTTGTTTCACATTGGGTTCGTAAATTTTGCCATCTAGTAGATACCTGGACACTTCTGCATTCCGGCCAGCAGGTCTGTAAGGACTGTGGCTTCTGGCTTCATTCACTGCCCAGACTTGTTTGTCTCCTGTTGTCTACACGCAGGTCTTGAGGCGGAGGTCACCTGCAAAGAGCATGATGTGCGCCGTATCGCACAGGAGCGCCGAAAGCATTTCTCAAGCTTGGGGAGCATTGCAAGGGTGAGGCTGTGCTGGTGGCGTGAGCTCATGAGGTTAAGCCAGGTCCTTGAGACGTTTCGGCCAACCGGGGCAGCAGTTGTGCAGCTGCATCGAACGAACGTTCTGCATCGAAACGGAGGCTGTGCATCGACTCCCCAAGGAAACATACGTCTAGATGGGCGAAACCCCAGCCCTTTGAACCTCTGTAATTAACATGGAAGTTCTTTCTACTACAAGATTCAGTGCAGATCCGATTAACTTTCATAGGTCCGGTGTAAAGCCCGGTTAAAAACAAAGCGAAAACCTCAAATCAGGATCTTGTGGCCCTGGACGAGTTTGACCGCTATCGAAAGCTGATTCAGGACGTCAACACCCTGCTGAAGGCCTGGGGGCCGTGGTTTCAGAGCTTCGGTTGCGGCCTAAGATATAGTCGGAAGGCGTCTGCGCAATTGGATAGAGTCCACACCTGGTGGCACTTGTGCTTTGCCGACCTGTCCTTGGACGCGACCGAGCAACAGCCAGCAGAACAGAGCATCGAGCAGAGCAGACCAGGCGCTTTGCACCGCAGCGAGCAAGTTACGCACCCTAAACTCCTAAGCCCTAAAGCCTTCTAGAACATCCGTGCCTGCAGGAGCTACAAAAGTTCGACCAACTCGTGGCTGATGACTCTGACGATCAACTCCGCCAGCTTCTTATCTAGTAAGAGACTCTATTCCCACACGATTCAGGAATACTAGTTGAACCCTGGCTGAGTTAACGAATGTTCGTAATTAAATTATGCTTATGCTGCATATCGGGCTCTTGCGGTTTCAGGATTTGGGGAGGTTGTTGTAGCTTAGGGTTTAGGGTTTAGGACTTGGGGGTGGAGGAAGATGATTGCAGGGGGTGGGCGAGACGGGGTTCAGCCATTGTTTCTCTGAAACGAAGGGTCGGTTGTTGCATGTATCGGAAGTCGGGCATATGTTCCTTCGGGGGTTCCGGCAAGAATCAGTTTCAGACTCCGCCTGACATGATATTGCCCGAAACCCACAGCCGCAGCAATTCAAACTAGAGAGTACCCTGCCGGGATATCCTCGCCGAACGAGTGAGGTTCGAGCGGATGCTCAACAAAGTGAAGGAGTTCGATCTGGACATCTGCGCCAAAAGCGGTTTCATGGTATCCAAATCGGCTTAGGATTTCTTAGCCTTAGCTAGGGTCTTGCATTTAGCGCTTGTGTGCCTCCAGGGCGGTCGCGGATATCACTGATTTCTTCCCACGGCCCGGATGGGTCGTCTGAGGTCGTGCTCTTCTGGGGACTCTGAACTGGCCCTAAACCCTTAGACCCCAAACCCCTAAACCCTCAAGCCTAAACCCTGAGACCCCAAACCCATAAATCCTAAACCTCTCTTGTTGACGAATCACTTTCAAGGGCTGGGTCCCTTCAGTCTTGGATGCCAGGTCATGGAGCAGAGACTCTGAGATTTCTCTTTTGAGATTTGGGGGTCGGGGTTTAGATTCAGGCGATTGCACAAGTCCTGATGCAAAAAAGGGTTTAGGGGAGGGCTTTTCGGGTGCAGGCCGATCCGTCCCGACACTTTTAAGAGTTTCAGGTTAAGTTAGGTTTTGAGGGTTAAGGTGTTGGGGGTGTAGCCAGCTAGATTTAGACAGATGAGGTTCCTCGTAAAACGATGCTTTCAGCAGTAACCCGGATGGCAGCGCAGCTGTTGTCCAAGTTTCGCGGCTGGTTCACTGGCGTGTGAGGTTGTTGCAGGCCCAGTCACCCCCACTCGAGATTTCAGCCCAGCATGGTTTAAAACTATGGACAGAGAAAGCTCTCCAGACGGTGAAAGCACGACACAATCACTAGCGCTATCTCCATGAACTGATGCATGGTTGCCCTTTTACGGGCTGACAGGCGCAGGGATTACAGGTTCATGTGCGAACTTGCGCTATGCAAGCAGCAGAGCCGCCAGCCCAGCTCAGCAATACTCGAAGCCAATCGCCAGGACTCATGTCCCCTGAAGATGATCAAGGAGTACTCCAGCTCCGCCGTCGCAGGAATTCCCGTGCGCTCCCTTCAGGCGGAGCTTATTCGAGGTCTTGTCTGTCCCATGGACCGAAGGCTGCCTGATCAGCGCTCTTTGGCACGCCACTTTGTCGAAAGAATCAAATCGAAGGACCGCTGCTCTAGGCCTGGCTTGAGGACACAATTCCATTTGTAAGGCTGCTGAGGTCTACTCTTGATTTAAATGTTTTGGTGGTTACGGCTTGTCCCAATCGGACGCTTTCTTCAGACATACCAACTGCGAAATCAGGCGCTGCACCCGTCTCCTTCAACTGCAGGCTCACACTTTGAACCCGTGATTGTTGCCCACAGAAACTCGCAAAGCCGAAGTATGAAAGCCCTAAGAACCGACTGTCCCAGAAACTCGCACGGCCGAGGTATGATCCTAGAGAAGAATGCGGCCTTGCGGTTCCTGTGGGACCAAAGCATGTTTCAGGAGCTGGAAATCCTGGCGCCTTGGAGGGCTTCGAGGGCTAGGCTTTTAGGGTTTCGGGTTTAGGGTGCCTTTGATCCCCCGGGCGAGCTCCAATATAGCCTGTGTAAAAAAGGGTGCCTTTGATCCAGAGGTTGCTTGCAGTTTGCACCGTAGAGACGTCTGCTCCGTCACATCTCATCCGGCCGTAGAGTGAGCCTGCATGATGCGAAGCTTTCTTCGGTCCATTCCCAGGAGCTTGAAAGAGACTAGCGTCGAACAAGTATGGTTTAGGGTTTAGGGTTTAGCTAGAAGGTTTGGTGCTGGGTAAGGAATAAGCAAGTCCGCATCCAGCAGATCCCGCAGATCTTAGGATATCTTATAGGGTGCCACAGTCCAGGGCTAATCGAAAGTTGCTTCGGGCTTGGGGGTCGTCAGCCTTTTGCTTGACAGGTCAGGCTTTGCACAGTGGACATGCGGATGGATGATCTTTCATGGTCATGGGTTTCTGCATGTTGCCTAGAGTGTCGAAGCATCGAAGGATGTTCAAACAGACAGAGGACATTCTGGGATCCCCACAGAGTAGTTGGGGATCTCATGTGCCGAGGTGCGAGAGAACATGGCCGACTTCCAGACACCCCACCGCCAAGCATTGCAGGATCTGGCTTCCTTGAGGCGCCGTCGTAATTATTCGCAGCAGGTTTGCAATTGCCTTAAACATGACAAAGAGAGTCATGGGCCGCCAAGGAAACACTAAGAGAAAGCAACCATCCGCATGGTCTTCCATGCCGATCGTGAGATATATCTCCGCCTTTGAGCTACAGCGGCAGTATGTGCAGCAGAATCTAGTATATGCCTGAATGCAAGTTCTTGCTCGCATTGTGCGAATGCGGGCCCCATCGGGATGGCGCAATGTCTCTCCTTTCTAATCTAGCTCATGGACTAGCAGACGATAGGATAAAATTCACAGGCGACACTTCTCCGAACAAGCCTCCGTCTTCGTCATGGGACAACACATAAGGCCTGAGTTTTTGAGATTTCTGAAGTGGGTTTACTACATCACGAGGAACCTATGACTTCCACGAATGTCACTCTGTCATGGTCATGTATGAACATATGATGGCAGGCCCTTCCTCGAGGACGTTCTCATGACAGGCACCAAAACTGGAACCAGCTCAGCTGAGGGCCGTGTTTAGGACCGAAGCCGGTTTTGCTGCAATCCACGCACTGGTGCGGAGATGAATCATTCATAGGGGGGGCGAAGGTCTAGAGAGCGAGGCAACGTTTGAACGACAATGCGCAATGCATGCTTGGGGTGATGGCGTCCGGTTATTCCCGGTGTCGCTTCCGATCCTGGCATGCGGCCAAGTACGATGCAAGCATCAGTGCGAGGAACAAGTCGAAGCTAAGCAGCCTCTTAGTGTTAGTGGGATCACGCGGAGTGGTAATTCTGGAGGCTACAACTTTGGCCTAGAAGACCGAACATGGGACTGCACATAGGAATGGAGTGCACGTATGAGGACCTTTACTGGGTCAGTACAGTGTCATCATGAATTCTGTCCGAGGCCTTTTTATGTGTCAACAAAAAGACAGTACCATTTTATATAGCTATAGAGTTGAACAGCTTTATCAGGTAAAGTCAATGACTAGAGTAATCGGGAACGTGTTGTCTTCGACCTTCTCTTGAACTTTAAATGGGTAAGATCCACAATGGTCACTTGATTGAACTTCTGGGATACATGAAATCTTTAAGCTCAGTTAAGTTAAGGCTTTTCTCAAGTTGTCTGTTTGCGGGTTCCCTAAACCCTAAACTCTTTTAAGAGTGGCATCGCTTCCCGACTCCAGGTGGGCACTCCATCTCATCCTTGGCCCAGGCAGGCCTAGGGTTTAGGATTCAGGGTTTAGGTTTAGGAGTTACCCGAGACCCGAAACCCCATGTCTAAACCCTAAACAGCGGTACGAAACACAAATGAGGGTTGACAGGAGAATGCGAGGGCTTGGGTGTTAAGAGTTTGGGATTTGGGGTGCATGTTAACAGTGGTACACAAGATCTCTTCTGAAACTGACGGTGGGAATGTGCATGCGCAGAGTCGCAGAGGTTGCTGGTAGTGCTAGCTTAGCGATCCTTCTGGCTCACGTGACTAGCATGAACATCAGAAAGCTCCGAGATGCTCCGGTCGAGGTGGTTCACGAACACGTGTCAGAGCAGCAGCCAGCTTCAGCGAATTTGTTGCAGCTGCTGGGACGTGCCTCGCTTGCACCACTCAGCACGAAGCAAAATGATGTGGAGAAGATTCTTCATCCGACTGATGGGCTTGCGGAAACGCGCTTCCGAAGCATCTGTCCAGACGGCAAGCTGAGCAAGAGCGAGCTATGTAGTGTTGACCCGGGACTAGTAAAGTTATATAGTACAGCCCACCATGCCTTAACGCAGCCAGGCACCGCGCTAGCCTACAGAACCTACCTACCTGTGGACCCAACACTAACCGACGAACCTACCAATGCCAATGCGGGGCGCGCGGCCTCCAAAACCCCGACAAGGCTGTCTGTTTAGGGTTTTGGGGGTGTGGGTGTTATTTGGCACCAACATTATCCGAGTGACATACGTGCGGATCACGAGCTCAGCCTAGGTGCTGGAGAACTCATCGATTTGGTGCCCTGGCCGAGCTCAGTTAGCCCTCATCAAGTTTAGCCTACTCTGGTCATACAGAGCGCTGAACTCCCAAACCCGAAACCCCAAAACCCAAAAACCTAAAGCCCTAAACCCTAGCTCATCGCCCATTCCGAAAGCCGCAGACTCCAGAGTTCTGAGGTCGGCCGCCTTCATAAGGATCTGTCTCAAGATGTCCGTGGCAGAGATGCTTCGCTGATCCAGGAGATGTGGCAGGGTGTATGGGAAGTGGGTGATGAAGCTCGATTGCTGCTAGACTCGCAGAGGACGATCCTTGGCAGTTATGTAAATGCCCTTGCATGTTGTTTGTAATGTCATGCTGTGATGATGGGGGTGTGGTCCGGGGAGGGTGGTCCGAAAGCGAGGTGCGGGCACGACGAGCTCTGCAGAGTGCGAGACCGGCTGCTGCTGGATCAAGCACTCACTGATGCCCTTGATGATGTTGCTTGCCTCCTCCCTTTTCCAGCGTGTCGGTTTGGTTAAGATTAGCCAGAGTTGCTTTCTTCCCGGGAGTTCCTGAAACGCATACTATACAAGCCTCAATAATTACCAATGTTGTTCCTTCGGGTTTCTTACTAGTTATACTTATAAGGTACCCCAAAACCCTATTCTAATAATTAAGGCCCCTTTATTACCAGCGCATTCCCAAGGTTCTTCGCGAGCGCAAGATTCAAGCCGAGACACTGCACACCCTACTTCAGGCCGGTGCCTCACAGAGGGCGCCGCAGCTGCTTTTGTCTGCCGCTACAATTCTGAAACATAAAGCCAAGAGTTGGACACGATCTGCAAGCCTAGAGACTCAGAACTTACTGATATGTGTATTTTATCATTGTAGGGGTTCGGGCGCATATGAGGTCGCGGTTGTCTGTCGTTGTTTTATCCGGTCGGCGCTTTGAAAGGTCACCGATCAACTCATTGCACAGCGCAAGACCATGAAGCAGAGGGGTCTCCGCATTCCTGACCTCAACCGCTTCAATCTCAGCATCTTGTCTTTCTTTTGCCTACGGA